TTCCAGCCTCGCTGAGACAAGCGGTTCTGAAGTAGTTGCATGAGGGACACCCGGGAATGACAAGGATGAAGATGCTCGCGAGAGGATTCGCATACTGGATGGGCATCAACAGAGAAATTGAAGATTCAGTGCGCCGCTGTAGGGATTGTCAGGAAGCCTCCAAAATGCCAGTGAAGACGTTGCTGCATTCATGGAAAGTGGAAGACAAACCATGGAATCAACTTCACATTGACTATGCAGGGCCGCTGAATGGCAAGATGTATCTCGTCGTAGTTGACGCTCACTCGAAATGGCCAGAAGTATTTGAGATGCCTTCATCGTCAACTAAGCTACCCTGAGAGAACTCAGATCCCTATTCGCTCGATTTGGAAATTCGCAAGTGATCGTGTCGGATAATGGGACGCAGTTCACAGCAAAGGAGTTCCTAGATTTCTGTGAAGAGCGAGGAATCAAGCATATGCGTTCACCTCTATTCCATCCACAATCAAATGGACAAGCGGAGAGGTTTGTGGATATCTTCAAAAGGACCTTCCAGAAATTTAAGGAGGGAGGAACGGCAGAGAAGCTTGCGGAGTTTCTACAGTCTTATCGACGAACGCCTTGTACAACTGCTCCAGGACAACGTTCGCCTGCCGAGCTGCTCCTGGGACGTCAGATAAGGACACCACTGTCACTGCCGAATGAAGACTCCAAAGAAGAAGGAATGGGCAATGAAAACATGGAGAAGCAGTTTAACCGCCACCATGGAGCACGAAAGAGAGCGTACCAGCCACAAGAAGCCGTGTGGGTACGTGATTTTCGCTCTGGATGTGAAAAATGGATTCCAGCTAGAGTGAAGAAACGCTACGGAGAAGCACTATATGACGTGCTTACTGAAGACGGCCAGTTATGGAGACGACATGCGAACCAAATGCGCCGCGCAGCAAGTATGGATCGCCATCATGACTCGACACAGTCCACTTCCGACGAAGACCGACTTAACAGTGGTTTCGATGCTGCTGAACACCAAGCCACCTCGTCTACTTCACCGACATCAACCAGACCAAGTCGCCATCGTCGCCCACCAGAACGTCTACAAGTAGACCCTTATTATAAGATGTACCGTTGTTCATCTTAGGAGGGAGGTGTTGTAGAGCCGACCCTTATATTGGAACTTGCTCACTCACTATAGGCTAGGTCGATATGGTCTCTGTGGTTTCGGCGTACCCGCCGCACCTTGATATATTTGTGTGAGTTGTTCTCTAGTTATTCCTAGTGAACCCTCGCCATGTACGCCGATAGGCAGAGGGGAAACTTATTATATGTCCTGTTGTCTTGAAACCTGGGCATATTGTGATAACTGATTTCAATATTTTTCTTCTGCCGTACAGGTTGTTATAGGTGACACTTTATTGCCCAACGTTTCGGCACAACGCCGTCGTCAGAGGCTTAAAAGGAGTCAGTCACTTCGATTCATGATCTTAGCCGCCAAACATCTCCTCCCACTCGGCCATTCGAATGGTCTTTAGTGGAAGCAGGAAGTCTGCGAGTAGAGTTTGACTCACCAGAGTGCCACCGTGATTTGTAGCAGTATCAGCTGCTTTAGATTGTTGTGCCGAAACGTTGGGCAATAAAGTGTCACCTATAACAACCTGTACGGCAGAAGAAAAATATTGAAATCAGAGGGGAAACTCTTGTGTTTTTCTAATAAATCGTCAATGGCTCAACGCGTTCCACATCAATTTCCTTCTTAAATGATAACTTTACTCAAATCCCCCTGTAAAATACTTCCAAGTACGTTGACCTGGGGTGAGTCTCGGCTGGCTTGTTGCAAACCCCTTTTTTTTAGAAAGTCAACGCGCTAACGCTAGCATTGAAAAAGCAGAGCAGACCTTGCGTGACGATACATAGAAAAATTAGTTTACTCTTCTGCCTCACGCAGTTATGCAAAAGAAATTCTTAATGTTTTTAGTTAAAGACAAATGTGTGCAATAAACTCTCTCCAATACTTTGGCAGATCGTATGCCATGGTTAGACGTATCGAAATATTTGTCCCATTTTTCGCCATTAATATAATTTCAAAACTATAAGGTTGTCCCGAAAGTTCTGTCGCTTTATTTTCAGAAGTTTGCAAGTTTTCTTTGTCTCGACGGATTTGGTTCTATTTAACTCTATCCAAGAAGAAGTCTTCCTCTTTGTACACTTGACGAGTTTTAACACTCACTGCAGTGATAAAAACGGCAAAAGAAAACCACTCAGGCTTCGACAATATTGTATTAGATCGCCAAAAGTCTGAGGTGTTGCAGAAAAACCTGAAATTGTCGGTATTTGAGCAAAAAAGTTTGTGCCCTTTGGACGTTTTTGTGCAAAGTTATGATTTTTGCGAAAAGCGACAAAACACTCAATTCTGGCTCAATTCATTTCTCAATTCTTCAATTTTTTATCTATTGTAAAAACGAAATTCATAACTTCTCGTAGAAACGTCCAAACAGCACAAACTTTTTTCCTCTTGTGAAGAATAAGTCATAAAATCCTTGTATGAACAATTTAGGATTTTTCTGCGGCATCCCTGTTTTTTGGCGACCTAACTAAACGGTCGAAGCCTGAGTGGCATTGTTATCTCTACAATGAGTGTATGGTAAAAGTATATCGAGGCACTTTTACAAAGAGAAAGATTTTTTTTAAGATTGAAAGGAAACAAATCCGTCGAGACGTCAAAAAAGTTACAAACTTTCAAAAAGACAGAACTTGCACGACAACCTAATATGTGCATGGTATGTTATGCAGACCGAAGAAAACGAATTAGGCTCGATACTACTGTGAGAATAAGAGAATCAGACTATCAATGATTTTTGGGGGTAAGTTAATGGAGTGTGGCACAGCCACAAAGAAATTTGGCTGCTACATCCTTTTTGGAGTTCATCTGAATTCGTTTCATGCAGTAGAAAATATAGCCGCTTTCCCAGTTCTATGTTAATGGCAAAAAATCGAATAGCATAGGTCTTGTGGTTTTCACAGGAGTGATTTGAGCTCAGATCGTCATCTTTGGTTTGAGCGATAGTTGCTGAAGGCACAATCAATAAAAGACAAACGGCAGACAAGATTCTTGTTGGCTACTGATTTATTAGTTTGACGGTTGATTGAAATGAGATCTCTTATATAGCAAAAAGGTTCATTTGGGTGGTTAGGGTTTGAAAACCTCAGAATTCGCTAATCGTATGCACATACATCCCCGCTAAGGAGGGAAACAATTAAAAGCTCATAACTTCTAGATAGTCGCTTGGCAGATGTAATAAATAGCGATGACTGTGATTAGCGTTTCAAGGCGAGTCCGTTGATTATAGTATGTTTGGTATGGCTGGGTTAATTTCTGACCATTTTCTGTTAAATACGTTTTAGACAGGAGAAGTGAATGTGAAGATTGTGTGAATATTTCGATAGTTCCTAGCTCGCGAGCAGTGGTTCTTCGGAAATCTCGATATCCTGAGATTTCACTTATTTCTACTGCAAACATGTTTAGCAGTACGATAGTATAATTTCAGTACAATTTTACGGCATTTCATTGACTTTGAGCAAGATAAAAGACCTGAAAAATAAGAGGTGATTCCTGAGAATTCTCAGGTAGTTCTTAGGGGATCACACAAAATAGCAAAAACCACTCTTTTAGGCAGTAACCTGGCACACAGATGCGCAGGTATAAGAATATGAGGACCTTCATGAGCAAGATAGGAAAGGAAGAGGAAAGATGTTTAGAGGAGCGAAATATGGCGCATCCCCTCCCAAATCCCTTCCCACGCACGTGCATACGGGTCTAAAACTTAGTTCATAGGAATTATCAAAGCATGCTTAAAGGCAGCGTCCTGGCAAAATTTCGAATGGAATTTTTTTCGCTTACCTGGGCTTATTCACCCGCTGATTCTGAGCAGCGGTCTCAACCTTTTGCGAGCTATCGGCTAGATAGAATTAACAAAGTGAAAAACAGTAGAGTACTGGACATCTTCATCCAGCTTCTCAGTACAGCACCCATACTAATTATTCAACAGAAAACGCAAAAACTGACGATTCGCGTTTTTTTGTCGTTTCACATACAATTCGGGGCGAGGGGGGGGGGTGCCATAGGTTATTTTTCGTCATCGATCGAAATCGACTTTATCGACTTTATCGATTTTTTGTAAAGTTTGATCTACGGGGCTGGGAGTTGGCACGGGGGGATAATCGAGCATGCTGATTACTAAAACAGCGGGAATAGTGAATTGGCATGTAGACGTGGGCACAGCAAAAGGTTGTACAGGGATAGGGATGAGAGTTTATCATAGTGTTTTGACAGGGCAGGGCGGAGCCAGGTAAGCCAGCTAGTTGGAAATAAAAAAGGCCAGCAGAAAGAGGCAATACCCTTGCTTGTCGGTTGATGCTCTTTGAGTTTTGGCTGAATCAAGTACGCAACTTGTAAACATTATAGAAATCTTGGTGATTTTAGAAAGCCAGCTAGAGATGCCAAAAATTTAATGTGCTCATGCGCTGTAAGGTCCAGATATAAGTTCGCCTTGGCGAGGGCTCCGAAAAGATCAAACTGGAAAACGAAATTTTGCCGGGACATAGCCTTCAACCGAAAAGCTTTCCCTTTTTATAAGAGATCAGAAAACAGAAAGAACTTAGCAAAAATCAGCGTACTCACGGACTTTGAAAGTTAGATACAAATACTGACAATCATGGCAGACAAGGACAACAAATGTCTGCAAGTTTGTTTGGCAACATATTTGTCTCGTTGAGACTTTTTTGAGAATCGATACCACATGACAATAGCTCTGACAAAATCAAAAGAATTTTCTGATTGGGATCTACAACAAAGGCTCTTTATTCTTCTATGTTTAGACAAACAATGCTGTGAAACGGGCGCTTATGTGCTCACATGGTGGCAAAAAATTTTATTGACTCAGTTAGGAATTCACCTCTGCATTATAGCTGACAGTTCAAAAGCTCAGAGTGGCACAATCAATGGCTCAGTTCAGTGCGTTTCTGCCATGGCTCAATTCAGTGTGTTTCTGCTATTGTCTGTGACATTATTATGCACATTTTTCCTGTACAATACGACTGACTGGTCGAAGGCGGCTTCCAGCAGCATATTTGTGAGCATTAGATCCAATTGTCCGTAGTTTCCATTTTGTAGCATCGATTTTCATCCTACAGATCACTTTGAATTCCTAGGAAGCTTCAGCTCTGAACAAGTACAAAAGCGACCTTCCTCTTGAGATAAATGAGGCTTACGATGAGTGGCACAAATGTATGAGTGACATTTTATACCCACTTCTGGAAAATCCCGAAAAGGTGAGCTAGCTGACTTGGGCTCCGTTGATTCATGATGCCATTTTGCCTCATATCGGTTTACTTGGTAAAAAGACTTAGTTGCAAATAGGCTCCGGGACGAGTCGGTTTTTAGGGTGGAAACGAAGTGTCTTCCCTAACTTTCGGTTTTTAACGAATCCCCTTTGACCTACCTACTTACAAGGAAACGATACTTGGTGTCCGTGGCCTTTTGAGATGACCTGTACACCATTACACTCGTCTTGGAACGCTGATTCCGAATCTGACTTCCGCTTCTGCTAATCGCTTCAAAGATGTTGTAAAGGATTGTGCGGGCTTTGGGCTACCCACTGAAATACGTTCGGAGCGCCAGCAGTAACGGTGCGGTGTGGTCTAGTGGTTAGTGCGATAGGCTCACAAGTTGATGCAGGTGTGGGTTCGAATTTTGTCGTGTTTTTCAGTTTTGCATTGTCTCAACAAACCTTCTTTCGCATCTTTGAGCTAACTGAACGCCCTTACTCTTAAAAAATGTGGAAATTTGGAAAAAATGATTACTATATGCGCTAAAATGTATCCAATGATCATAATTCAAGTAAATCTCGAACAAGTTTAATTGAGGCAGTGCAAAATATAAATACAAAAAGACGAACCTACCTGCATCAAGTTATGAGGCTATCACGTTAACCACTAGACAGTAATATGGCGCCGGTAAAGGCCGCTCCGGTGACCATCTTAGGCGGCCAGAGTTGGCTCGAAATTCCTCCATAATTCTTTCAGAGAAATGATTAGCAGAAACGGAAGTCAGATTCGGAAGCGTTTGAAGACGAGTGTGGTGTTATACATCTCGTCTCAAAAGGCTACGAACACTGAGTATTGTTCCCTTACTAGAAGAAGATAAAAACAAGGATGATTTACTAGCCTGAAAGAAAAAACGTGAGATAAAGAGTAAAAATTCAAATTGGAGCTGAATACTAGCATGAGGAAGTTCGGCATTGGAGCGCGATATTCAACAAAGCGATTTATGAAAAAATTAAGGCAAAAAACAAGGAAAGGCAATGGTTTGAAAACGTCTTCATGCTCAGGGATAGATTCTTGACCAGGGAATCCGCCCATAATAGAAAAATCCAAAACTTATGTGAAGTGACAGAAATATATGCTCCAAACGATCTCAGATCGTCTGTTGACCGTCTGGGCTAAGTTTGGAAAAGGTAATACTTCACACAAGTTTTCAAATCTTTTGCATGATTCTTTTGCAAATAATTTTCTAAGCATACAATTCAATTTTGGTGTCATATGACTCCATGTGCGCTGTAAACAAGCAATTTGTTTATTTTAGTCTTGCTTTCAATCGCGCCCACTTTTCACTGTACACGATAGAGCATGTCATTCGTGTGATAACCTGTCCAAAAAGCTTGTGTTCGAATAAATGGCCCTTATTCTTGGTGCCTGGCCCCGATTCGTCAAAACGATATCTCCTTTGCTTTTTGCTCCGAAAACGAAGTCCAGCCTGCTTTTAGACGATTAGTGCTGGGCGCTGGTTGCAATGTTCAATGTATTACAACAGTCATATATCAATAGATAAGCAACAAAAGTGTCGCTATATCTCTCAGCCGAATAATCTACTGTTTCGTTTTGCCCTTGTGCCACTCGATATAACCTAGCTTTTGAAATCCGTTTCTGATTTTTTCTATGAGTGATTCAAAACAATTTTGCGCATTTGTTTTTGTTTTGTAGTGCGAACGCCGTACTGTCTGCACGCATGCCAAGAAAACAGATCTCGATTATAGTCGAGCAATGAATTTGCATTGATAGAAAAATTTGTACCTCCTGGAATGATAACCACGAAAGTCCCGCGCGAAATGGGCTTTTCGTGCGAATAAAATGGACTTAGTCCATGCGGTGGATAAGATATCGCATTCGCGAATCCATTCTTTCCATATAAGTAAAAGTGCTTAAGCAAACCTTTCTCCAACTTGCCTCAACCTGTTTACTCACTCTTGCACACGCATTTCCACCAAATGGTCAGTATCTAACTATGGCTTACCTAACATTACAATGACAGTCACGTGGATATCTTATGCCATTTATTATCTACCATTGCGTCACCTCTGCTTCGCAGAGGCTCGCACTGGCCCCTACTTTCTGCATGCCTTACTCATTCCCGCATAATAGTGACATTGAAACTCACCGTGCTATGCCGAGTACCACGAATGAAATGTAAACAGCTACTCATTTAGAAAGATTTTTCACGTGAGATCGGTGATTTCGCATGGAAAAAACTTTTCGCAGGAAGACAAAGGCAAATTTGAACAGGTTTTTGAATTTGTCATGGTTTGATAGTCGCCATAAAGGCAATAGTCACCGTAAGCTACATCTCTGTGCGAAAATCTTGTCAAACGCTTTTCTAGAACCTTGGCAAACTGACCATTTACGCAAGCATTACTTTTTGGCGCCGTTTTTGTAAAGTAATGACCTTTTGGTCACTTATTTGGGCGTAAGTTCATGGCCTGCACATTTACTTGCCATAAACACCCACACTCTGCAAAAAGTGGAATTACGGACTCAATTTTGTGGGCCATATGCAAAGTGGATCCGTTTGACGCGCAATTTTCAAAAGATCCACTCAACGAATCTGCTTGTGCTTTTGCATGTTGGACTTTCATGCCAGTAGCAAGTGCTATGCAAAATTTGAGCCCAGGACGTTGGCTGGAACACGCTCTACGAATTTCGTGACAGACAGACATTCAGACACACACACAAAAACACGTAAACACTCTTAGCGCGCTATTATAGTAGGATGACTATGCAACTAAGTACTTCCATCACTAAAATACATGTAACAGACGGACCTTCGTTTTTCAAGACTTCTTTATATCTGCATCAAATCAAATTCATATGCAGTCTTCTGCAGAAAGCAAACTCTGGCTAGATTTGCACTGTAATCTGTAATACAAAATGCTTATGTCATAGGAATTCTTCTACACTACAACTCACAGGGTCTTTCAATTGACTTAAGTCGGAAAAACTACGAATCTGCAGAAAGATGACCGCAAATGCTATACTTTTGCTCTTCTTTCCCATTTAGCACTAATGTTTATATCTCTGAATAGCTGAACAGACATTCAGCTTTATATATAAGATGGAGGTAAATCCCATTTTGCCTCATTCTAAATGGACTTTTCGCTTGATTCTTTCGCAAACGAGAGCTCATGTAGGGTTGAATCATTTTCGCTGCACCGCTTGCCTCGTGGTTGCGATGGGATAAAAAATCATCATGACTTACTATATTAACGAGCTAAGGGTGTTTACGTGACTTTGTGCGTGACTTTGTCTGTTACGAGAATCGTAGAGCGTGTTCCAGCCAACCTCCTGGGCTCAAATTTTGCACAGCGCATGCTACCCGCATAAAAGTCCAACACGCAAAAACACGAGCAGATTCGTTGAGTGGATCCCTCAGAAACTGCGCGTCAAACGGGTCCACTTTGCATTTGAGCCTCAAAATGGGGTCCGTTATTCCACTTCTTGAAGAGTAGTGGATGTTTACGCCACGTAAATGTGCAAGCCATGAATTAGGCTCAAAAAAGTGATCAAAAGTCTGTTACTTTACAAAAACGGCGCCATAAAGTATTGGTTGCGTAAATGGTCAATTTGGCAAGGTTTTACCAGAGCATTTGACGAGATTTTTACACAAAGATGTAGCTCACGGTGACTGCTGCTCTTAATGCGACTGTCAAGACCATGGGAAAATCAAAAACCTATAAAAATTTGCGTTTGTTCTCCTGCAAAAAGTATCCACGCGAAATGACCGATTTCACACAAAAAAGCCTTCGGAATGAGTAGTTGTTTACATTTTGTTCGTGATAGTTGGCATTGCTCGGTGAGTTCCAATGCCATCATTAGGCGAGAATTGAGTAGGGCCTAGATAACAGAGCCAGTGCGAGCCTCTGCGAAGCAGAGGTGACGCACTGGTGACTTATAATAAGCCGCTTGTTTGTCGGTCTGTAAGTCTGTCTGTTACGACATTACAGTGAGGAATGATTTACGATACTAAACATCATGTGAGATTAAGATTGCGAGTACGGTTCATTTTTAACTACGGGTCTCATGTTGCAGTCAACCGAACAACGATTGGAGAGACAAGCTCTCAGAGAGTGAGTTCACCACGGTTCATGATGGCCAGTGCGAACCTCTGCGAAGCAGAGGTGAAGCACTGGTGTTAGATAACGCAAGAAGCAGATTCCGACCACTTGCCACCGCGAACGAATAAAATGGGATTCGAAAATCCATTTTCCTCCATTATGAACTTTCGTGGATATCATTCCTGATTTGAATCGTAAAAACATTCAGCAATATGGAACACTAAAAGTAACTATTATGACAGTAGAAATACTTTCTACTTTTGCTGCGCCGTACAGGTTTGTTAAGTGGTATATTTATTCATTCGAATTGGCCTAACGTTTCGTCGCCGCCATTTGCAACACCTGACCCCAGATATCTCCTCCAATCCAGCTAATGGCCTCTAATGGCCTTCCTCTAACTTCTTTTCGCAGAAGTTCATGGCAGAAATGAACGCACCTCTTATCACCGTTGTTTGAGACGTCCGCACCGGAACTGAAGAAATCAGCGGACAAATAAGCAATATAGTAGAGGATCAAAGAAACCATCTAACGATACATACGGGGAGTAATGGACAAGCATTCATTCTCATTGTTCATTTCTGGATTCTTTTCAGAGATCCAGAAAGCTTCCGATGCCTTTCGAGCCGGGATCTCCTGTTCATGCGTTAAAATCGTTCATTTTCACCCTAAGGTCATTTCCAATGTGCGACTCGTTCCTATGTCTACCTAGAGTCACTAGGCTTTTGCGTCTCTTACTTGCTAAATGTTCTTTCATGCGTACGCTTAGCACCTGCTAGTTTCACCCAATATATAGCGCGCAGCAATCAAGACATTCAATCTGGTATACAACTCCAACTTTTGCGCAATCTCCCTCTTTGCCATATGAGCATACTAACACTGCTTTGTCATACATTGTCGGTCGTAGAGAACTATAATCTATAACTATAATCTGTGTATATATTGGCGAAATTAGCGGGGTGCTGAGCATACGCGTAGAAGAACATTTAGCGAGTAAGAAACGCAAAAGCCCAGTGATTCCTCCAGGTAGAATAGGAACAAGTCGCACAATGGAAATGACTTGTGAAATGCATGATTTTAACGCATGAACAAGAGATCTCGGCTCGAAACGCATTGGAAGCCTTCTGAATCTCTGAGGAGAATCCAAAAATGAACAGCAAGAAAGAGTGCTCGTCCATTACTGCCAACTTCCTGCCGTATGTATCGTTATACGAGCTCTGATACTAGATGGTTCTTTTGGTCCTCTATTATGCTCATTTGCCTGCTAACTTCTGTCACTTCCAATGCACACGTCTCAAACAACGGTGATAAGAGATGCGTTCATCTCTGCCAAAAATTTCTGCGAAAAGAAGATAGAGGAAGGCCGAAACTAGCTGGGCTGGAGGAGATATCTGCGGCCGTATTCATCAACGAACCCAGTGGATTCCGGAACTCATTGGGTAGGCTTAACACAAGAGATCGGTATTCACGAAGCTAAAGGGTTAGCGAACCCTGCAGTGCTTTTTGTGAATATCGATCCAACCCAGTGGCACCGTTTTCGCTTATCCACCGGGTAGCGGAACCCACTGGGTTCGTTGATGAATACGACCACTGGTGGTCTGGTGTTGCAATTAAAGCTTTGAGCCTTTTTAGCCCTCTGAGGACGTCGAAGATTTCGAAGCGTTAGGCCGAATCTAACAAATAAATATACCACCTAACAAACCTATACGGCACAGCAAAAGTGAAACGTATATCCAGTGCCCAGGTTCAAACAAATTGGAATTTGGAGATCATTATGACAGTGTTTGCAATATTGAGCAAAGCATCGCTTGGGAATTATATACTCTTATTTTTATCGTTACACACTAGGAAAAAAGTAGTTTCAATGATTACTAATAAGTGATCTAATCTGAGTTAGCGGATAGATTCGCAACATTAACGTTTTTCAAATGTCTATCCACTTTCAGCTCTGGTCTACCTTTCGAGACAGTGTAGGAATCTGTCGAAAGCAGACTGTTATGAAGAAACTGAATCTAACTGGAGTTAAAAATAAAGACGAGTTCAAGTATCACCTTTATAACACCACAGATGTGAGTTCATTTTATTAGGCTGAGTGTGATAAAATTATTTTGAACTTAGTGGCTAATGGACGTGAATCATAACGCTGGAGTAAAACTAGTCTTGAATAGCATTTCTCGTTATTTGATGACACATTTAAGGATTTACTGGCAATTAAGTTTGTATAAATTAGCACAAGAATGACACAGTAAACATGAATAAGCATCCATAGTAACTTTGATTAGAATTGAAAGAAGGGAAAGATGAGTAGAAAGAAAGTCAGGCAGAGGCAAGACTCTGGGGTGGTCGCTTTGAGGTCGAGCATTTTTTTTACTATTGAAAATATTCGCCTTGAGATATGATACTTGCGAGGCCCAATCAGGTCAGGCAGCAGCAGCCCATCTAGCGCGGCCTGCGCACCCATTCTTCTGCATCATGTGAAGGGAGTATGTGCTACAAATGCAGAAGTGGTTTTTCAACTTCTATCGGAATGTGGTTACGCTAAGCATATAGAAAGCAAGTTATAGGCACCTTATCTATTCAACCTCTTGATTTTAGATGCCCCCTCCCATTCTCCCCAATGGTTTTATCATAACTCAATGATTAACACATTGACGACACCAGGCGATTTTACTGTCTGCCTTGTGGGAGAGTCAAAATTTTTTGCCTGAAATCAGAAAGCTGTCTTCAATAGCATACCTACCAAGCTAAAACGGTGCCGAAATACATGGAGAATGTTCTTGAATTTAGCATGTACGAAAGCCTCCGAAGTGAGTTTATTCGAAGTAGATGTCATTTGACCCACTGTGTCACACTGTCCCGCGTAATCATTGCGTGTCGTCATACACAAGCATTCATAACTAGAGATTTGGAAAGTGCTATCGAAAACAAAGGTTAAACAAGTTTATTAACGTATATCCTATGAACGACTTATGCGAGCAGATCGCAGTCATTTTTGCCAGTAACACTGAGTGTCAACCGTCGAATATGCATTCGTGATCTAAGTATACCTGACAACATTAACACATATACAGAACAGAAAAGTTGGAAGAGTAAGCTACGCAAATTCATCATGAAAGGTGTAACACCAATGCAAGCGAGTTTTCGATGAAGGTTTATCTTTCGAAGCTAGAATTTCGCTGCATTGAAATACTTTTCACGCTGAGAAAGAGAAATGTAAAAAGGAACATTGAGCTGAGCTGAGCTTTATGGGCTTTATTGAGCTTTAAAGGAATGCAAAGATACGCGTGAGCTGCGAACTCCTTATTCTAATAGGAGACGGATACATACCCCCCCCCCTGGTATAACTCTTCACCGATACTACCTAACATAAGTTTTAAAACAGTGAATAAAAAAGATAGATTGAGAAGTTCAGGCAAAGATTATTCAAAGAAGGGTGAAGAGGCTATATGAACTTGGGCACTAGTACGCTGATTTATGCGGCCACTGACAATGAGCAGGTCGAAGCCTGCTAGTCCCAGGGCTTCAGCTTGCTCGAGAGCGAGACTAACTCATTTGTATAAGGTGTCCCAAAAGTATGTATACGCTGCTTGGTTGTTGATATCTCCCTTCCCAAGAAGTCCTTGAACTACATCCAGTGTCATCCTTTCGGCTGGCTTCAACTTAGATTTACAGCACGGAGCAATCCACGGTCTTTCTTCATACTGTAGAAGACGGTAGAGGCTCTGCTGCCACTTCAAGCTAGGCGTAAAAATATTTCCAAAAACATCTGAAAAATTGTGATACAAGGTCTTCTTGCACGGTAATTTCATATACCATTGTTTGCGAGTTTTCAGAGCTTCTCAAATGGCGTAATCAATTTTTTAAGGAACATGGAAACGGTGTATCCACATAACTTATTAGAGGAATATTACCGTGAGTTGCGAGTTTCATGTGTGTAATCATCAACCTCTGATTAACCTATATAGGAGTTTTTTAGCTTTTGTGGTTCTCTGTTAACGTGAAATAGGCTCTTAATGACTCAAAATCCTCGTCAAGTTTCTATCGTAATCCTAAGTATGAAGAAAGATTGGTGGTTTGCTCCATACTATAAATCTAAGACTAAGCCAGGTCTACAGATTTGAAGCTGAGCAAAAGACTTTTTGGCAAAAGAGATATCAGATCTAAGTTTATACATATTTTTATGACACCCTGTGTATTGCAAGGACAAGACTGCTGGGACCAACAACACATTATCGTCCAAATCTCAATTAAAGCTAGTTCAAAGTCTAGTTTGGTATTTCCGATTATATGAGAAAGTCATTGTTGGCAATTTACTGAAGCTGTCAGCAAAAGGTATGGCTTAGCAGCTGAAATTAGCATGAGATTAGTTAGAAAGAAAGAAGCATCCTTTTATCAATGCTTTTGCGACTAAGGAATTCTCATGCTTGTTTACTTATTGTTAGCATATTATTCATCTCTCCTCAATACAGCCTTATCAGAAATGTTAGTCCGACGTAGACTGAGGCTTACATGAGTTAACTCTGAATAATCCATTTGTATTGAATGTGAGCAATTTTTGAATTCAGCGAGATAGTAGTACCTGTCATGATAAAAGCAAAATTCGCAATCTTTTCCATATTTTTGAAATGGCATTGAACTCCACATTTTATAATGCCACTCAAGTGAACGCCTTCGAAATGGTAACAAGAAACACATATAATGCAATAATTATCACAGAAGATTCAAGCTTGCTATACTTTGAATAGGTAAGACTATATTGCAAAAGTGAGCATAGTAATCCCCCCTAAAACAGGTGAAAACCCAGAAGCCTACATTTTAAATTCTATTTAGAAAACGCCTTCCGTTGTAATCACTCTGGGAGTTGGATGGGACGTACTTGCTGAAAAGACTCTTAAGACTCTGCTACCAAACGTAAGTTTCAAGTTCCGAATTTCTCACTCAGGAGCTTTTCTGGAAAAGTTTTAAAAGATCAACCTTTCAATCACATATAGCAATGTCGTAAAATTTCCTGACTATGCAGTGTGTGCTCAACACTTAAAAAGCAAGAGAAAAAGGAGTGCAATTACGGACTTTTTGTGCTTCAGTCGTGTTATAACTTTTTGGATGGATAACGTTCAAAACAACAGGATAAGTCTCTTACCTTCTGCCATCTACTCACTAGCACTGAAGAAAGTATGTGCTCAACGTGAGAGAGAAAGAGAGAGAGAGAGAGAGAGAGAGAGAGAGAGAGAGGAAGGATCGAAGGTAGTTCAGATTCAGTTCCCGATCAGCACAAACTGCATACATTGTGAGAGTTTGTAATGCTGATTCCTAACCTGCTTTTCCTATATGCTTAACTCTTTTGGGAGAGAAGTTACGAGCATTTTCTGAAGTCGAATAATGAACTAGTAGCTGGGATAAAATCAATCGCTACAGCTTCTGTAGACCTATATGTAGCACATAAAATCAATTTTTTCTGTAATATAACAGTACTTTTCATTGCTCCATTTGAGGCCCAAAAAGACTGCAACGATTGATTTTATCCCAGCCATTAGTTTACATTTTAGCTTCGCAAAATGCTCATAACTCCTAACCAGGACCAAGCAAGAGGTATGGCACACTATCGCTAAGCAAATATCAAGCATAATGAGTGATCTATGCACAATTAGCATGTCAGTAACCCCTGTGGGCCAAATTTGAGCGAATTCTGGTCTGCAAATACTAGGCCAACTAGTGAAATGGTCATTTTCAAACACAATTAGTTTTGTTTCAAAAAGGAAATAGCTACTGCTTTTTGCAATCCTCAGAAATCACTACTCCTTCTTTACCCACCACAGAAATCTCGCTCCAAAAAATCGCCAAACTGTGGAATTAGAAGCAAACCAAATTTGTTTGTCCCATTTTTCGATTTCAATGGCTGTGTTTTCACCAACTATTACTCAGAGCAAAGAAGACGAATCGAGCTCAATTCACTCCCACGAAATCTACAAGGTTTATGCTATCAAATCATGTAAATATCATTCGTTAAAAATGTTTTTGAAGGTTAGTTAATGGGTTGTGGCACCCCCTCCCCTCCCTTTAAGAAGCTGTGGCTGCCAGAGCTTTTTAGAGGTCCACACCCCATTAACTTACCTTCAAAGCATTTGAATATCGAAAAGAAAGCGAGAAGAATGTATAAAGGGTGTCAAGTAAGTACACACTTTTCAATCGTTAATATCTCTATTCCCATTGTGTCTTTTTCCTCCATTCAAATATCATTCTGTAGAGGAGGTTTCAACTTAAGTTACAGTAGAGTGAATCATCGATCGCCCTTCATTACTGTAAGATTACTGTAGAAACTTCGACAAGACTTTTGGGCCACTGGAAGCCATATTCTGCCTCGGAACAAAACCAAACAAGCCAAAAACTCTTATACTATGGTAATGGAAGCCGCTGATTTGAATTTGAAATTCTCATTTTTCTGTGATGCTTCTTTCCTAAGTTATCCCAGGTAAACTGTAATAACCGAATTCCCAGTATTTGTCAGAAATGCGTCAAAAAAGCTGAACACTCGTAAGAAGTTGTGTAGTGGAATCAGCGTGCGCAAATACCTCAGGTGGCATATTTCACAATGGTTTCACGTGCTAGAATTCTTACCGTAATCCTACAGTAATGAAGGGCGATCGGTGATTCGCTCGATACTGCAGCTCTAAGTTGAAACCTCCTCTACAGAATGGCACTTGAATGGCAAAAAAAGACCGATTGGGAAAAGAGATATTGACGATTGAAAAGTGTGTACTTACTTTTGGGACACCCTGTATATTCGGTAGTCTAAACCTCTTAGATTTCAAATTAAGATTTGACCTCAATTGGTTCTTCATATGTGAGATATTTGAATCGAAAAATGCGACAAACGAGATATTGGCTTGCTTCTAATTTCACGGTGCGGCGATATTTTGAAGCGAGATTTTTGTAGTGGGCAAAGAAGGAGTACTGCTTTCTACCGAGTGCAAAAAGAGATACCAGTATACCTCTTCTGAAGCACTGTTAATCGTCTTCGAAAATGACCGTTTCACTAGGTGGCTTAGTTGCAAATTTCAAAATTCGCTCAAACATGGTCCACAAGGGTTATTTGACTTGCTTATTATGCATATATCATTCATTATGCTTGGTAGGATCTTTTTGTTATGCTCCGGTAGGTTTAATGGTAACTTAATATATCATGTACTTGTACTTGGCATACTGGGACTATCTGGCAAACTGCTGATCAATATCATGTTATGTGGCTATTACGTGGCTATTTTGTCCTATTATCGGTATTCGACTACGACCCCTTTCCTTTCTGACTCCTCAATACGACCCCGCAGGTGTGGTGTGCCGCACCCCACTCTTTACCCTACTTCTTTAACAAAAGAGCATCGCAGAATGAAAAATTCGGAATCACCGATACAAGCCCTCGCTATTAGTACCATTTGATTCAACTGGCTTGGAATCGACAAAGGCGGGGCTTCGTGACCTAATTAAGGCTAGGGGATGATCAGAGAGCACTCGCGCCAGAGAGACGCAGGTGCGTCGCAGGTGCGAGCGGCCTCAGTTAGATCACAAAACCCCGCCCTAATGGTGCCAAGCCAGTTGAATCAAATGTTACAGTCCGTGTCAACCTTGAGTTCCCTTATCCACCAACCGAATCGCATCCCCGGAGCCTCGCGTGGCGTTCGCGCGCGTATAGCCGCGCACTCGAGAACGCCTCATCGATCGGGACGCCGCGCTATGCCCTTGCGGTGCGGACGCGCAACTGCTACGGAAAAGGGAGCACTTGTTGACGTCGATTGCAAGCAGTTTATGGTGTTAGCTATTTCGACCCTCCCTTGTAAGACCTGTAGCGTTAACCTTGTTTCGAATTCAAGCGGTGTTATCATTCGTACTGCATTAGTATCCAGCTTCATAGCCAAAGTGTTATATGCATCAGGTTGGCACATAAGTATTCCAACTTTTATGTAACTTTTGCCTCTTTGAAACTGTTTCACTTTTAAATATCATACAGGCCCTGAGGTAAGTAACAAGTGCAGCCATTTTTGCCAATTTCCGTCATCACATGTGAGAGTTTACGGTAATTACGGTAGGGAAAAATTTCCGGGCTGCTTCAGAATTTCCTGAAATTTTCTTCCAGAAGGATGACGTGCTTACAATAGTGAAACTTATTGCGCATGAGAGGGCCTCTTTTGTTGAGTTGACGTACGAGTTTTTTCTTTGATAGGTGATTATCATGGTCGTCAGCCGATTTACTGCACTGTGCGGAGTTTAGGAAAATTTTGAGGATTGGCTGCTTAGTCATTGACAAATGACTCCCTAAATTCAAACCATTTAACTTGTTCAACATTTGTTTTCGAATTCTACTTCTTTTTCGCCGTGCTCAATGGGTCAACCTCTAGCCAACATGCTGCCTACAATTTGGTCTTGATGTGTTTAATATAAGAGTTTATTGTGCACGAGTTTATTTTTTTTTCAAAAACATTGAGGACTCGATTTACAGCAGTTTTTGCATAATGCTAATCATGTTTTTTCTGTCATGTCATAAACTTACAGCTCACGTCACAGTCTATAAAATGTCGAAAATGAGAGTGCTTTATTGAAGAAGTGAAGAGTTAAGTCATGGAATAAGTCGTAAAACTCATGCCTCAAACTAATACTTTGATAACTCTTTAGCATTCAGTATCCAGAGCCCTTGTTGGAAGAGTATCTCTATACACATAAAGCAGAAAGTCTGTATGTCTGTGCACATTTCGCATAGTCATAAAGGATGAGCAGTGAAGCTCATTTTGTTCTGCTGATCATCGAGATATGGTACGGACGGTAAGAAGCGAACCCAAGACGAGTCGACATCAAAAGAGGGAAATCGTTACATGGAAGGTCAAGCACGATGAACTGGCTCACAACCGGGGTAGAACCGGGGATGCCGACTCGTTTACTGATAGTTAACGGTAGTGACTCCGCAAAACTTAACAGTACGAAATTAAATTGAGTAAGCTGTTTTCACCTTAGACATGAAGACAGAGCAAGTCCGGGCGTTTTGCTGCCCTCGTCAAGAAAACTATCCTCAAATCCGTGCGCGCAAGCCATTCTTACACGTGGTCGAAGGAGCCCGCGATTTCCCTCCTACCTTCAGGGGCGGCATGCCGCAATGCTTTGATCATGAGGGTCACGCAACGACTGTGCGTGTACAAACTTGGCGGACCGTTCCACTTGTTAAATTCAACGCAAGGGGGGGGGGCCTTATAAATGCTAGTTCGAAGCGTCTGATTACCTCAGGTAAGTGAAAAGAAGTTTAGGTCGAGAATTTTCCTATCCTGGTCACTGCAGAGTAAAAAAGTGGTTAACATCTAAGAAGTTGTATCTGTTGATGAAACAATCAAATGAAAATTTATATAGCACTGCAGGTTTGGCTGATAGATTTCCGTACTTGTGCAAGTCAAAAGTAGTGGTAATTCGAGCTCGATCATAAAACAGCTGGAAGGATGATTGGTCGAAGTGCCCTTTTGAGATGGGTTCTACACCATGGTGGAGGGCATAAAACGCTGATTCTAAATCTCTCTTCCTTATCTGCGGCGCGTTTTTGGACAAGGAAAAGCAAAAAAATGAGTGTTCTTCAGGGACAAAAAAGTTGCTAAAATTACCCCAGTGCTTGGATAAGACAGCCGAAGTGCGGATATATCTCACCTAAAAGTATCTATTTTATAGAGTGCTGAAAGATTACCATTGGTCCATTTAAAGGCACTGTCCGGGCAAAAAGTCGATTTTGAGACTGTGTGGTGTTTACCCGGGCCTATTCGCTAGGCTGAATCCGAAAATCCACACTGGAGAGCGCGAAAACGGCAAAAAAGGGGTCTAACAAAGGAGAAATCACCAGGTGGGCGGGGTCTCCCCACTGTGACAGCTCCCAGCCTCCGAAGAGATCTTCTTGCTTCCCCTAGCGCCCTGACATCACTGCCGGCCAAGTGCGCCTGACTCAAAAAACCGAAAGATCGTTCTGAAAGCTGGGATGTAAATTCACAATGGGGAAGACCCCGCCCACCTGCTAATTTCCCTGCTCTGTTAGAGCCCTTTTTTGCCGTTTATACGTTCTTCAGCGTGGATTTTCGGATTCTGCATAGCGAATATTCCCGGTTAAGCACAAAATCTCAAATCGACCTTTTGCCCGGACACTGCCTTTAAGCGCAATAGATAATGTTGATGCTGGTGTTGTATTATTTGCACATTCATTTTTTCTCCAACAAACGCTCATAATTTTTCGCGCTGGAATGCGCCGCAGATAAGGATGACAGATTTGGAATCAGCGTTTTATGCACTCTAACATAGTATGTAAATCATCGCAAAAGGCCACTTCGACTGACCATCCTTCCCTTGCTAGTACAATGCTTCTTGCTTAAGGGTTCGCTCTTCTTCGGCGCTGATCCTGTGTATGAAACTAACGACAAACTCTACTCAACAGTCGGAACATTCTTCCCCATTGCTGTCGGCAACGAGACTAAGGTTACCAAAGCATTTGTCATGCCCAAGGAGTTGAAAGGTGAATTTTGCAGAGTTTTGCAACGATTATAACCTGTATACTAAACGAGCTCCTGGCACTACTTTCGGTTTTGCAGCACAAAGATCCTTTCCGCCTTTGTGGTGTGATTGATTGCACACATGCAGATACGATAAGTTGAAGCGAAAGTTCTTACGTAATTTTAACGTTTAATAAATTTCCAAATCCTAGTTAACCATGGTAATCGGGCCCCGGCACGAGCTCGCACCAGGAATATTTTAAAACGAAGTCCCCTTTGGCCTTAAACAATAAACGTAATCCCTAAAATACGAAACATCAACTCAAAAAAACGTCGCATTTGTTCTTTTCGGCCACCCAAACTATATCCCCTTGCTTTTTGTCCCAAAAACGATATCCAGTCTGACTGTGCCGATCCTGATGGCAGGAAATAATTCTTATATATAAAGCTGAATGTCTATTTTTATGTCTGTCTGTATGTATGTATGTATGTTGGCAGTTGGCACAGGGAGGTAATCGAGCATGCTGATTACGAATACAATAATAAGTTTTGGAATTATCCATTAGTTATCGAATTCATCGTTTTTTGCAAAGTTTGAGCTACGGGGCTGCGAATTCGCACAGGGATAAGTGAGCATGCTGATAACTAATACAGCGGGAATAGGGAGTTAGAGTTGGTATGTAGAAGTGGGCATAGGAAAAGGTTGTACAGGGACAGGAATGGAAGCTTTGTCATAGCGTTTTGACAAGGCTGGGGGAGTCGGGTAAGCTAACTAATCAAGATATAAAAGAAGGGTTATGCGTCATTAAATTGGTTAAAGGCACCGTCCACCCTAGGTTGAGGGTGTCGAGCTTTTGTCAGCATATAATAGTAGGGCCCCCTACCAATCCAATGCCCAAGTCGCGGCGCAAAATGCTGCTTCGGAAGCGAGAAAATCGCTTCGGAATAGCGAAGATGCACGAGGACCATCCATCCCCATCCATGCCCGCCCTCCCACATCCATGCCCGCCCATTTGTGCGCGTATCCAATCACGGTTCCGGAAAGCCGTCCTGTTGGTTCTCCGGAACGGGGATTGTTGGGGTTTCGCGCATTCTCGACTTCATATTCGAATTCAGGGACATGAGAAGGCCCTAAAACGACAAAAACGTGAAAGTCGAAAATCTGGGTGGACGGTGCCTTTAAGCCGCAACTTTTCATTATCTAGGCTGCAAAAACAAACTTTCTACGGCGCACAAAATCATTCAATTCTAAGTTTTTTCAAAAAATGCTATTTCGCTAGCTGATTCCAATTTTTGCAGACTTTGATCTCGAGAAAAATTGCAAAAACGACGCGAACGTCATATTGTAAGAAAAACTATCTTATCACTGCAATTTTGCAGCAAAAGCGCTCGGCGCAATAAAAGTCCCAGGTTTTGGTAGGCACTAGTAAGATCTCTGACCGAGCTGTGCGGAGCTTGGAATGCCATATCTGGAAGCTTTGTCGCTTTGACATTAGCGTGAAAAACCGTTCATCTATTGTCATAAAGCGCAAACTTGTAGTACTCTAAGATTACAAAACCATGAATTTGAAAACAAGATTATAAATGCTGACGAATTTTGCCAAAATTACGCGGGAACTTTCGTTCAAACCTAATATCAAAAGCGCAAATTTTTGTGTGTAAACAATATGATCCATGTATTGGGGCAAAATATATCATTTCGAATGTGCTTAGTTTTGCAACAAAGATAAGGAGATAGCGAGCTAACGTTTGTGGAGATGTTTCTTTTTTTAGGTGATTATGAATTTCAAACCATGGTTCACATCGATGTGATCACGTTTCTCACTAAGTTGACACGAACACCTTTCATCGATCAATTTTTGATGGACAATGAAGGTAAGAAATTTTGGAAGTCATTTCACGTAATGTACTAAATTACGCGAATAAAAATTGGAACTGAAAAGTGGAAAGGGAATCACGGTGTTTTGAGTTCATTGATGATTTTTCCTTGTGTTATGTGATCAGCTTTGCTTTGTTTTATTTTGAGTCGGCCGAGAGTATCCCACACAACAAACGGTAGATGATCTGACCTCATTACTCACTTCCATCGGTGCGCTTTTCTCTTCCTGAGTTAATCTTACCCGCAAAATTTTTTTACAGGTTTGGTCACAACTTTCATGAGAAAAAGAGAGTGAGAGACCTGACAATCAAATTTCTTTGTACAAACAGTACTTTTTCGTAATTTTACTGGCGTACGAGGCACTCAAGACGTTGTTATTCACGTATATTGCGTTTGACGAGGTCAGCGCCGCGTAGTGCAGTCACACATCTAGCGCGAGCGCTACCGTACGCGCAGTGTGCAGGGACCATGCTGCGCACAACATCGCGGGCGTTGTTCTTATCATTGTAACTCGAGATTTTCCGTCCTTGTAGCAGCGAATTGCCATTTTTGTTGCTTGTATGCTCCACATGCGGTCTATGATACCGGGTACGATTTTTTTTCGCAGCATAAGAAGGAGATACCAATTCTTTGAGCGTTTCCTCATGACATCTTTCGTTTCATCCAGGCCTTCTTCGGATGGCTGATTCCGGATATTCATTACATCGACTCGTGTTTTGGAGGACATAATCGTATGTCGTTTAAGTTGAGTGAACAGCGTCAACGTGCTCAAATTGTTCTCTCAACCTGTACGATATACCTCAGACACTGGGAGCGGGCAAGCCGCGGCCTCAAAAGGCCTTTCCGGCCCGTCCGCGGCCTTAATTTGTGTTCGTGGCCGGAGTGCGGCCGAGCCGCGGACCTTAATTCATGTCAATATCATTGCACCGGCCGAGCCGCGGACTGAATATGGCTTGCCGGCTCAGCCGCGGCCTCAATGATGGGGGTGGAGCATTGCAGCGGCTGAGCTGCGGACCAAAATCTCTATAATGAAACTCCAGCCGAGCCGCGGCCGAAGTTTCATTATAGAGATTTTGGTCAGAAAGGTCCGCGGCTCGGCCGCTCCCAGTATCTGAGCATAAAAAATACCCGGAGGGGGGGGCGGAAGTTTCTCTCCCGAGCCATATTCTTGCACCTAAGTGATGTGCCTGCCAGGCATATGCGGGCTCGCTATAATTACGAGCTCCTCAGGAGACCAAGATATCGCAAGCCCCGCCCCTTGTCCAGTGTTGCTCCAGATGATGAAACCGGATTTTCGAAGAAACTTTCAAAATCGAAGTTCAGAAGTGAATTTGCTCCAATCAAAACCAAATTTTGAATGTAGGGGTTTTCGAGGTTGCTCTTTTCATTAGTGGTACTCGTTTATTGCAAGATCAACGTTCAGCACCGCGATTGTCCAGCAGAGATCAAAAATGGGATTTGTATGAAAGAAATTTAATCCTGAATACCAGAATATGGTTGAATCAAATTAGACTGCAACTTTAAACTGGCACGTGTGTGTAAAATCATTCGTACTCTAGAACAAGTTAAATTCAACTATAAACGAAATTTCTGAGATTTTAAAATAACCCGAGTTCATCTCAAAATTCCAAAATCGCAACGGTTGCCTCCATTGACAGCACGTCTGTGGCTTTTTTGCCTGTAGAAAGTCATCACGGATAATATTCTTAAACCAAATCTGAGAAAAAGCCAATACAGGTATAACCATTTTTTCGAGAGCTGGTAAACCTGAATTTGATCTTGTTTTGAAAAAGGAGACCTCGGAAACCCCTAAATTAAATATTGATCTGTATTCAGGACTAGATTTTATGCAAAACTAGGCAATGAATATTTTTTATAATCAATCATAGTTTTGCTTTGAAAGATGATGTGAAAGCAATACAATTTTTTCAGAATATTTTGATTTTAATTTCTGACAAGCAATAATTTTGCAATGAACCATATTTCCGTGATGCTGTTTTCTTCTTCCAGTCGCTTGTTAACGACGTTTTTCGTGGCATTTCCATGTAATTTATTGAGTGCTTAAAATACTGAAAATTCCCTGAAAACCAGATCAAATTTGAATTTCGTTGTTTTCAAAACAATAAAGATGTTTTCCTCTACTGTTTGACACCACTCCGAGCTTTATCAGCGCCGTATTTTGACATATTCTTAAGACTGAATTCGGGGAAGGAAAGCACTACGAAGTCACATATGTACTCCTGCATCTGTCATTTCAATTCTATGGAAGTAATTCGTTTTTTTGTGAGAAAAACGTTTTAGTCTCCAAAATATTGTTTGAAAAGTCAAAGCGCTATTGATATTGCACAAAGCATATATCGTTATCGAAAAAAGCAATTTTGAGAAAAATCAAAACTCTGAACTTTGGTCTTGATTTGGAAAAGAAGATTTCGAAAACCTCTAAATCCGAATTTTCATCCTGGTAAAGCATTAACGGTGCGAACGTTGACTTTGCAAAACAAGTACCACTAGTGAAAAAAGGAACCTCGAGAACCCCCAAATCCGAAATTTGGTCTTGATTGGAGCAAATTCACTTCTGAACTTCGATTTCAAAAGATCAATTTCTTTGAAAATACGGTTTCATCATCTGGAGGAACACTGGAACAAGGGGGCGGGGCTTGCGATATCTTGGTCTCCTGAGGAGCTCGTAATTATAGCGAGCCGGATGTGCCTGGCAGGCACATCACTTAGGTGTGAGAATATGGCTCGGGTGAGAAACTTCCCGCACCCCAAAATACTTGCGTGGTATACGACGCATGGTCAGGCTGTCCTCAGTGTTCATAGTCTTCAATGTCTTTCCAGTCTCCAAGGCGGGAACAAGATCAATATCTTGTACAACCTTGGATAGGATCTTGTGTTGTCCAATGTTGAAGTCGGACGTAATTTCCGAAGCCGCTATATCGGTGGCCTCAATTTTTCTTTTTTTTTCTGTGTATGTTCTATGTGCCAGTGAATAAAAAAACAGTTCTACTGTATCCGAGCTAGAATGAACTAGACGGCCCGACAACCAGCTCCGGCTGAGCCGCGGCCCAAAAGCGGACGAGCCGAGGCTGTTTTCCGGCCGAGCCGCGGCCCAACTCCGGCCGGGCCGCGGACGCTGCGAAATTCCAGCCGGAAAAAGCCCGCGGCTCGGCCGTTCCCGGTGTCTGAGTACGATTACACCTCACATATTCACCTATAACTTTAAGGAAGAAGAGCACCACCGTTCTCAACATTCTCATGAAATTATTTGGATCACATCTTTTTTTGGACCTCAAATCTCCATTTGGTCGTCCTTCTCGCGATGATACTTCGAAGGATCTAGAAAGTACCGAAGTAGAGTTTCAGGCAGTGAAAGCTCAGAAATTTGGAAGCAGCAAAGAGAAAAGCTAAGAAAGAAGCAAGAAGAGTAGCTTATGTAAGGACCGTGCCTCTTTGCGTGGCATGGTCTTTGCACGTTGCAGCCCACGGTAGCGCTCGCGCGCAAGTGAGACTGCACTACGCGGCGCTGGCGCTGTTAAATGCATTGTAGCCACTTATACTCGGTTTTCTGATATATTTTGCTTCGGTTGTTCTCCTAATCTGTTAGATTAATGCAAAAGTTTTACCAGTTTTTTGTATCTTCTAGAAATACGTTAAGATGAAGATAAACAAGTGCTCCGAACAGTGTGCGACATAAATCGCTTCCTCTCTTCAGCGCTGATTTTAAATACAAATCTTCTAACAAGTTCCGGCATAATAGTCGAAACTTGACCTCTCATTTTTAGCTCGTCTGAGTTTCGCCAACTTTTAAATTTTTTGTCTGAAAGTTTTGATGGAGTTCTTATAGCCAACAAGTAGCACATATCCTTGCTAAATAAAGCGATTTTTTGCCTTCTCTACCTATAGAAGTTCGCTGAGTTTCAGAATTCTGGAGTTTGAAGAAAAAATCGCGTGACACGTAACTGCACCAAACACGGGGCAAAAACTTTAGAATACTAAGGTTTCAATACTCGATTGTTACCGTTACTTCCCTTCAAAATACATGAGCGATTAATGTGGAGAAATGATAAAACATGGTGATTTTGAAAGTTAACGTGCGACATTGCGCATTCGTAAGATTGAGAAGTACTTTTACCTGCAAATTTCGTATGTCTCGAAAAGAAATTGTAACTATCAGAAAGGGCAGAAGAAGTTGCATCGAATGGTACCTGAACTGTTTACCCCTTCAAGTTTCGAGGTCTGATTAGACTGAGTATAAAACTTGTTTCCATGGAAAAAATTAGGCTTCGGGAATTCCAAAAGACATCCAAAAGGCAAGCCATGGAGTTAAAGAAAATTGCACCATTTCAAAGGCTAGTTATCAGAGCATTTTCAAAATTCTCTTATAAAAGTTTCAAAAATTAACGTAATCAAACATTTTGAAAACGAAGAGGGTGAAGAGTTGTACTCTTCAGCGATTTTCCCAACTCTTTTATCAAATTACATTGAAAACAAGGCACCTGGCAGAAAATAAAATTCTGCATTAAATACTATCTAAATTTTTGTTTATGTGTATTGTATCGATTTGCGAGTCAATTTCTGATATTCGAATTGTTCATCTTTATCCACTTTTTGACCTGAACTCGTTTGGCAAAGTAGATTTTTTTCCAAATAGCATATCTTTATAAGACGAAGCTAAAAGTACACGCAGCTCTCGCATGACGATTGCGGAGCGGAGAAATCGAGGTTCAAACATGATCATACGTCGGAACTCTTCAATAACATTTCGTTCCGAAAGTTCTTTCCGTTTTTTTTGACATATCATAAAAAACGTGGCACAAAGATAAGGAAAAGCTTCAGGCACTATCTGACGCGGCTTTTCTTCCTCTTTGTAACTGTAGTATTCCTGGCCGGTTGCTTTTGTGGTCACTGAGATAATCGCCGAAATTTCGAACCCATGGTTTTTACCATGTCCAACTTTGGCAATCTTTCACAATTTTCATTTACAACTTTTGGGAAACCTTTGATAACAACCAGATAGAGTAAGCAAAGTGCAATGTAATGCAAATTTTGGCAATTTTAACTGGCTTCTCAGTGTTTTTAAGATTGCTTTTTTAGAAGTCTTCGCTTTTTCGACGTAACAAAATACACAAGCGCTCCGAACCATAACAAACCTTCGGAATTCGAAACTTTTGAAAGTTAGTTATGATTGTCCACCATTTTTATAAGGTAACTGAGCGTTTACCTCTTTGAAATATAAGATGTTGCATTTAACGTGTATGCCCTTAGGTGGTTTCAAAATCAAAAATTATGGAACTCTTATAGCCAAAAACTCCATAAATTGGGAAGAAAAACAATTAACAGAAAGAGGAGAGAAAGCTGCATCAAATGACACCTTAGTTGTGCGCCGTTCTATGCTCTATAGCTCTTGGCATCACCTAAAGTGGAATTTGATCATCAGAAAAATAATTCTTACGATTTTTCGAGGCTAGATATAGATGCCGAAAATATGAATTACATTGCACTTTGTTTACTCTATCTGACTGCTATCAGAGTTTTTCCGAAAGTCTAAAAAGAGAATTGTGAAAAATTGCGAAAGCTGGTCATGGTAAAAACAACGTGTCCGAAATTTCGGCGATTATCTCAGTGATCATGAGAGTGACCAGCACATGAGCATGACAGTTAAGAATAGGAAGAAAAGCTGCGTGGTGCGTGTTTTGCACGTTTACCTACCTTTATTCCATGAGTTTTATGATTGGTTGAAAAAACGGAAAGAACTTTCGAAACGACATAATATAAAACTTCTCTAGCTACCGTAGAAGCCTTTCTTTTCACATTAAAAGTAAGACCAGAGTTGTAACTGAAGTGTGAAACCCTTACTGCTTGTAACTCCTTCCCGTCTTTACCAACAACAAATAGATAACAAATTCAGTTATCTCGAAGGTCACAGCCCTCGAAATAGGGTCGATGGAATGGCCCGTTCAAACAATTTTGATTCTGCATCTTGGGTCCGCAAAAGGACTCCGGAAAATCTTTGCTTGACCACTCCATCATATACTGAACGGTTACAAGCACTAGGTATTTCGGAGGACGTTGCTTCAAGATTTTTTGTTTTCCTGTTTGCAGTTAGTCGCCTATCAAAGCTCTGGAACAAGTGGCTAAGCCTTAGGCCCCGGACAGACTTCACGCGATTTGCTCGTCGCGATGGAATCGCCACGAAACAACTGTTACAACATCATTCCATGCCAATCAACTTGCATTTCGGTTGTGATACTTTTCCAGCCCGAAATTTTTGAATGTGAAATGAAAATGAATGGAAATGTCGGCGATTTAGTCGCGACGATCAAATCGCGTGAAGTCTGACCGGGGCCTTAGATGGGCAAAGGTTCTTTAATCACGGATTTATGACTTTTTACCCGTGATATCAATGAGTGCTTGGACTCATTGATGACTTTGACTCCTATACTGCTTTACGAATTTGCTGGAACCAAGTGGAGAAGTTACAAGCACTTCTCCGGGCTCAATTTGAAATTGAGTTGGATATGTTACTTTAGTAGGGCAAACCGAAAAGCTTGTGAACCCTTCATTTTACTTCCTAGACAAAAAGTGCGTGAAGTCTACGGACGCAATTTTAGGGCAATTTCGCATTCACTGCGAGTGCACATTATCCGTTAGAGAATTTCAATATGCGATCCGGGAAGCAGAATAGCGTCTAACTTAGGGCCCAACACGACGGTGGCCAATGGATACCCGTAAAACGAAATCGCCTTTATCATTTTAGATTTTTACTATCTCTGAAGTGTTCCTGCGACGGTTGCTCAATCAGAGCTCTCCCTGAAACCAGCGTCGTTCTCGACTCCATTTTTTGCGTTCAACTTTTCTTGAGCATGCTTTCAACCACCATGACACTTAAAAAGGGTGAATTGCTCAGGTATCTTATTGGAGCTATTTTGTAAATCCGTGGACGAGTGACTTCGGCGCTACTTGTCAACCAAGCACTAACAGGTTCAGTATTTATTCGATTGTATTGGGTTGTTGCAAAAATAATGTCCGTTTTTAGGCCTATTTTCCGGACGTCTTTTTTTTTCCAAAACTTCTTTTTCGATATAGATTCTGCATATCATTAAAGTCTCTCTTCATGTACTTTCTAAAATGGTAGAAATGAGCATTATCTTATCTGTGAGAATTTTACCGACATTTTGCACATCCGCACTTAAAATCGGAATTTCACTGCGTTAACTTTCCCACGGTTCAGGCGCAAATAAACCAATTTCTATGAATACATAGCTACTGTATGGGACGAATATTGTTTATGTATTACACGCTTAAATAATTTTTTCGGGTACACCTCGACTGAGAAGTCGATGCCTCAAGATAGGTAGTCGATGCCTGGCTTCTAAAATTTTTTTGTGATTTAGGCAAATACTAAAACACATAGATACTGTACTCCCAACTTTCGTCCCACACTCCAACTATCACCCCCTCCCCTCCCCCACCAAAAATCACTTCTCCCACATAGATAATCGCTGCCTGGCTTCTAAAATTTTTTGCAGTTTAGGCAAATACTAAAACACATAGGTACTGTACTCCCAACTTTCATCCCACACTCCAACTATCACCCCCTCCCCTCCCCCACCCAAAATCACTTCTCCCACAAATCATTCCCCTCTTTTTCCTCACCTCCTCGCCTTCTGTGGCCGTATTCAGCAACGAACCCTAAGGGTAAACCTTACCCATGAAGATAAGTTTTACCTCAGGAAGCATAAAACCCGTAATCACGATGCACAGGATTTTTATGCCTGAAAAGCGATCCGCATCTAGATCAATAGCTCGCGGGATGCTAGACCGAGGCGCCATACGATCAACTCAGGTCCGTCTCAGGGCAGATCCCCTGAAGGAGGGGTTTACTACGGGCCTTAGTCTCTTTAAATCTATAGATGATATATCTCGTTGACGCTCAACACCAGAGCTCCTGCAGACATGTGACTTATCAAGGTTTTTTCTGCTTGGTTTTCCGTTTTGGGAAGCAATTTGTCAAAAAGTGCCATATTTCCGCTGTATCAAATCAGCTGAAGTAGATGTTCTTCGTTAGACAGAATTAAAATAATAAGATTTAATCAATGGGCTCTACATGTTTAGAGAAAGGCGTTGGAAATATTGGAAACATAGGTGATTTGCTTTCTGACAGAACGTCATCTACAACTGGACATCCTTATAAAATTTCCCTATAAAATATAAAAATCGCCCAGGGTAGGCTTGACCTCAAGGGTTGACCTTACCCTTGAAGGTGAAAATTACATTGGAAAGCGTTTAACTGTCTTTATTACTCTAAGGGCCGCGTGCATTGAAGAAAAGTGGGTCGGCCGCAAGGATCATTGGGGATCATACAAAAAGCTGGAAATTGCGGCTTGTTCAGCTTCTCTCTCCATTCAACATGCTCATAGTGAAAAATGGGGCGAATACCTGGGGATTTATACGGCGTGAAGTCCACATATTTGGAGCTTCAAAATATGAAGATTTTTTCCAGGCTGCGATCCCCTCCCCCGCGGGGATGTTAATGCACGCGGCCCTCAGAGTAATAAAGACAGTTGAACGCTTTCCAATGTAATTTTCACCTTCAAGAGTAGGGTCAACTTTTGAGGTCAAGCCTACCCTGTGCATCGTGAATACGGGTTTTATGCTTTCTGGGGTAAAACTTATCTTCAAGGGTAAAGTTTACCCTTAGGGTTCGTTGCTGAATACGGCCACAGAAGGTGAGGAGGTGAGGAAAAAGAGGGGAATGATTGTGGGAGGAGTGATTTTGGGTGGGGGAGGGGAGGGGGTGATAGTTGGAGTGTAGGATGAAAGTTGGGAGTACAGTATCTATGTGTTTTATATGTTACAATAGCTGCGGAAGTAAGTATCTATGTGTTTTATATGTGACAATAGCTGCGGAGTAAGTATTGTTTGTCAGTGGGAGAGTGAAAAATTTGTTGTTTTGATGTGCTTGCCATTGGTCAACTCCTCAAAGTTTTTCTATTTGTCAATGTCACAAGGAAAATCGGTTAGACTGCTTTGCATGTTCAAGTTTTTAGAAAGCTTTCAATCGCTCCAGCGACTCCGCTTTAATGGCGATGCCTTTATACACCATACTTAGTTTGATACAAATGCTTCTTCCGCCGTCCACTCCGAACCCCTCAAAAACCGATATCCCCTTTGCTTTTGTTACCCCATACGGATATCCACCTTGCCCCGTAAGCCATCTGTCCGAACCCTGCATTCAAATGTTGGCTTAAAGGCAGTGTCCGGGCAGAAACTCGATTTTGAGATTTTGTGCTCATACGGGCCTATTCGCCATGCTGAATCCGAAAATCTACACTGGAAAGCGCGAAAACAGCGAAAAAGGGCTCTAACACAAGGGGAAATTAGCGGGTGGGCGGGGTCCTCCCCACTGTGAATTCACGCTCCCAGCTTCCGGAGCTGTCTTCTCGATTCCGCTAGCCGTCCTAACATCGCTACCTGTTAAGTGCAAATGATTGACTTGAAACCTTAAGCGAGAAGATCGCTCCGGAAGCTGGGAGCGTAAATTCACAGTGGGGAGGACCCCGCCCACCTGCTGATCCCCTTCTGTGTTAGAGCAGTTTTTGCCGTTTTCGCGCTCTCCAATGTGCATTTTCGGATTCAGCGTAGAGAATAGGCCCGAGTAAGCACAAAATCTCAAAATCGAGTTTTTGCCCGGACACCGCCTTTAAGGAGATAATTGTCATATCTACATATAGGCCCTGAATACGATATCATTCCTATGATGGGAGTTGGAAATGAGTTCGATCAAAATGGACTTGCCGTGTGTCAGATAAACGCTGAGGTAAAGTTTTATTGTAAAATTACCCAAGAATCACCCATGGCTAGCTACTAACGCTGTGTTAAGATTCACCACATACACGAGGATTTTAAAGAACGATTCGCCTCTCTGATAAAAAAGCTTTTGAGCGATCGCCGTTATGCTATCTTGGATGTTGTATCAACAGGACATCATCGCACTTTTTTGTTGAACTTCGGGAATAAAAAATGTGCTGAGAAATATCTAGCACAATTTTTTAGATAAATCTTGATTTCATGGATGAAAACATTCTCCGCCTTGTTGTACAGTTTGCCTGTCTGCGTTATTTGCGCATTTGAAAGCTGTGTAAGATTTGCAAGTTGACTTAACCAATAAACTGCGCAGATGAATACACTTGATGCAAGCATTGTCGTTTTGCTTAGCTTGTATATTACGACTATTATTATTACGACTTGTATTATTACGACTTGTTTCGTAATTTTTGATGTTCTTGTTATCTGACACGTGATTGTACACTTCCTTGTTCTTTGATTGTTGAACATTTATGATTTATGAGGTCTCCGGTAGCTAGTATCCGTAATATCCGTTTCGTGGATTTCTGAATAAACGTTTCGTTTTTACTATATAATGTGCACCAAGAAAATTTTTTTGATCGAAAAAGACTGTTTTAAGCATAGAGTTAATTTTATGCCACAAAAGGGAATGAGCTCTACAACTATGTTCGACTCTCGGCGACAACACTGAAGAAAAAATTGCTGAAAAGGCTTTTTTTGTTTCCGCATGTATTTGTATTAGGTTGGTGCAAAAGTAATGCGCGTTTTGCGAGTTCTCACTTTGACGTGCTATAACTTTCTAAAAAATCCATATTTTTCAGTGCGACAAAGTCCATCAGAGGCACCAAACATCTCTCTATACAGCGCACATTAATTTACTAGCTGGCATACCCGGCTCCGCCGTATGTTCCGAATAGAAAATTCCATTTCTCAACCGATCCGAACCAAACTTGGCACACATACACTTCGGGCCCCGGCGGGTGTCACAGTCCACTTTTCGTCATCGATCGATATCGATTTTATCGATTTTTTGCAAAATTTGAGCTACGGGGCTGGGAGTTGGCACAGGGGGGTAATCGAGCATGCTGATCACCCCCGTGGGGGTGATCAGCATGCTCGATTACACCCCCCTGCCAAATCCCAGCCCCGTAGCTCAAATTTTGCAAAAAATCGATAAAATCGATAAAAGTAATGCACGGTTTCGAAAACTAATATTGTATTCGTAATCAGCATGCTCGATTACCCCCCTGTGCCAACTCCCAGCCCCGTAGCTCAAATTTTGCAAAAAATCGATAAAATCGATATCGATCGATGACGAAAAGTTGCCTATGACACGCGCCGGGGCCCGAAGTGTATGTGTGCCAAGTTTGGTCCGGATCGGTTCAGAAATGGAATTTTCTGTTCGGAACATACGTACACACAGACAGACATACAGACAGACAGAGAGACAGACATACATACAAACAGACATTCAGTTTTATATATAAGATGCTAACCTCGCAAAATGGTGAAAAAATATAGATTGATGAGGAAAAAATTTTTTTTCGGAAACCTCGTTTTTAACTGATCATAACTTCCTTCAAGATTTGTTGGTATAAATGAAAAGTTGTAGCCGCAAGCCAGTAGTACAAATAAAAGTTGAAGGGGGCTCAAACAAAGAAGATTTGCGAAAATCAAAAAATAATATTTAAAATTGTCCGCTTTTTTCGACATTTTTTCGAAGCCCTCAAAATCCCAAAATATGGAGATTTTTGATTTTCTGTGTACTGAACAGCTTCCACATTTCTGCAAAATCTATCAACAAGAGGTCCACCCTTACGCTTACAGGAATGAGCAAAACTTTGGCGATTGCCTTCTTCAAAAGAAATCTATGGGCCACAGAATGGCCAAAACCATCACTCATGCTGAAGCACCGAAATCTCAGTTTGAATAATTTCTGAGGAAATAGCAAAGCATGCATAACGTAGAAAATTTCTACTACATACAGTAGTTAAATTTTCTAAAGAATGCGTTTACTCGCGCTCAAATTCTGGCCAAAAAAATAAGTGCAATGAAATTCTGGTTTTGAGTGCGGTTGTATGAAGCTTTATAAATTTTCAACGATTGAGGCTAGAAGCTTCTTTCAACCACCGTTGAATAGAGCATGAAAGAACTTCTTTAAAGTATGCTGTGTAAGTTTCAAAGGAAAAACTTCGATGGAGAAAAGTTGTCTTGAAATAAGGGCTAGAAAAACGCGCATTACTTTTGCACCAGCCTAATATTATCTACGCTTGGTCTGGCCTTTGAATTAAGTTACGTTTTTGACAGTCTTTTCGGGATTTCTGCTCTCATAATGCAACTCCTATTTTTCAAGTTCTTGCGGATCGCCCTTGTTTTTTTTCTTCCATCGTCATTTGGGCTTGCCTCTTCGCGTCCTTGACCATTTAGTGCCAAGTTCAGCATTATGGTGGATTCTCTCTTCTGCAGTGCGTGTATTTCATCGCAGCTTCTTTTCCTGCATTCTCTCGACTGTATTATGAGTGCATCCACTTGCACCATGACTTCACGGTATAGCACTGTCCGATTTCATGGAGGCGCCAAGCCTAGGGTTGTGAAAGAGGAACGGCAGCGCGTTACCTGACTGATAGGCGAAGGTTGCTTGAGTGAAGTTTGAGTTGTAGGCGGCTTGTTGTTGATCGGAACAAAAAATCTTAAAATGTAGAAAAAATCAAGCTGTCCCATTACTTTCCGACCACCCTAATGTAATAGAATGCTAGTTTGGAATCGGGTCTCAATGTAATTAGAAAAAACTGACATATTCAAGCACATTTGATCTACGTATGTTTTTTCCTGTATAGTACTGAAAATCCAAATAATCGTGCTCGAAACTACATTTTCATGTATTTCATTTTTCGTGGCTTTCCATAATTTTATCAACGCACTAATATATTTTGTGACAGTGGATTTGAATGGATCCTCCATTTATATTTTTTTCGCTGTAAAACCACTGCTTAACTTTGAACAACCTGGCTTTTGTAGACAGCTGGCCATTTCCGATTCTCGTTTTATTGCCTGTTGCATCAGCCTGTAATATTAATGCCTGCCACATTATGATAAGTGTTTCTGAAGATGTTAGTCATAATGTTAGTGAAAGCTACCTTAAGCTTCCTAATACACAAGCACTTTAAAAATGGCATGACAAGGAAATTACAAAACTTCTCACTCATCACTACTAGTCTCACTTTTTGATCCCATAATATTTTCCTGATATATAGAGTTGTACAAGTTCAAAAAAACAAGCATGTTCTTATAACTTATTGTCAGACAAGTATGGACAGCATCGCCGATCAGCCACGGGCGGTGCCACGCCCATCCCAAGGGTGTGGATAAGTAAGCGCCCAAACAATACCCACGAGTAGCTCGGCAAAGGGCCCACTACTGCCGATAGACATGCACGGGTGACCCGAGTCCGGTAAAGCGATGAGTTTCATGTATTCCAGTCTCAAATATGAAAAGATTTATAAACCTGTATTCTTTTCATCCAGGCATAAAGACCACATATGCAAAATTTTATCGTGACGTTATACGGCACATCTACCGTAACCCTCACTGCAACTGCAGAATTTGGCGGAATAGTAGCTGCATGTGATAATGTGGTATAATATACAAGATACCAAAAAATAAGTTCGCCACGGCTGGAGGGAAAAAATAATACTCAGTGCGGAGATTTTGGTGCCAAACGTCGTACGCTATACCCTCATTGAGTGCTGATGTGTTCCATGATTCGACTGTTGAGAATACTCGAAGGATAAAAGAATTAAGTGTGGAGGAAAATCTTTTGCCCCGATGCTAGGCTGGCTTTAGGACGAAGCAATAGTGGCGTTCATAGGCGAAGCAAGTCGTAGCAGTCCGTCTGGGTTGTATCAAAGCGATGTCAACAGATGCTCAGTTCTTGCTAGCATGGTTTCTTGCTAAAACTTCAGCATATTTTTTCCGAACGAACAAATTGGAAAACGAGGGAGAGCTGTCAGCTATAATATCACATGCACATATTCTCAGCTGATCTATGACATCTATTACTAACTTGTTCTATGCCGAACACTGTTTTAAAGCCTTTTAAACTATTAACCAACTTATATTCCTCATAAGGCAGAGAGAGGAAAGGGAATGTGAAAGGGGAGGTCACAACCTTTGGTCTGCTCGTCAAACCATCTAGGTTCATTATTCGCCCAGAAATTGAACATTCGTCCCCTAAGAGAATAGAAGAATCATGATTGAAGCCGACTTACCAACATTAATGGGTGAAAGCATAAATATACTCCAAAGTTAAGTTATTGAATCACATTTCGTGTTTTTATCGTTACGTAATTTTCATAAATTTAACTTAAAAAGGGATGTCTGCCTTGATGATGATGGCAACTTTGCAGGAAAGGAAGGAGTTTCAAATTAGTCTGCTAATAAAGGTTGAGCTTGATTGTTTTTCCATATCTCCAGCGGAAGTGGCTGCCAATCAAAGATATTTTGGTCATTTGCGCTGAATATTATTAGGTTATCCCGTAGGTAAACTCCATTTCCAAATAATTCGAGCAGTTTTTGTTTTCCTGACAGAATTAGGGTACCATTCATTAGAAAGGAGCATACTCTACAAAGTGGATCCACCAAAGATTCGCTTAAGTCGCATTCCGCTTAACTTTTGAAGCCAAAACCGATAAAAATTTGTCAATTGAAGATTGGGTTTTTTTTTTGAAAAAAATTTTAAGGAACTTCGAGCTGTTCAGATTTCTTTAGCACACTCCAGCCTCCAAGTCCGAAAAAGCTTACTTTCTTTGCAGCCAAAATCTAGAACACTTTGTTTTCCCGTTTCTGTTTTACATGTAAGTACTGGTATCATGTAGATTTTTTCTTGAGATATCATGTGTGCCAATCAGCAACGAATGCGCCACAGAAAGAAATTATCCTTCATCAGAAAGCTTTTGAACGAGTGATAATACTGACCATGATTGACTCTTGATTTTTCCCTAGAACAAATGTCTTTTATGGTTTCTCGGACACCTCATGGAAAGGTGGCTAGAATTTAAAGTATGGAACAAATCATCAAACTCTTTACCACTTCAGAGTTACTGTAGGAAGGTTTTCTCTAGTATTGTCATCGCATCAAAAATCTTAAGCAACTCTGAAACCTGTGTGCCAAATTACATCACTTCAAGCATTTCGTAGGTTTTTTACGAATCTATAGCTCTAGATGGCGCAATCAAATTTTTGAGGAATCTAAAAAACGCTACTACAAAATAAAACCTCTAATGACACATTTGGCGTAAAATGTCATTTTAAGGAGTCGCTATAGAGAAAAATTCCTTTT